CTTTTCTTCTTTATCTTCATACCTAAACCGTTCAGCCAATTTTCTCCCAAAATATTTAGTGATAGATGTAAATGAACTCAAGGCCCTTTCAGTTTGAAATGGACATTTTGATTTTGGAAGGTACTTCAAATGAAGCCTTGAGAACATTTTCAAAAATGGCTTCATATTTTGGATTGTACTTTGTCCTTGGGTTTGCAGAAAGAATGCTTCAGAGAATGGTGCAAGTCTCATTTTCATTAAAATCACTGACTTTTTGAAAATTTTCAGTGCTTCTTCTTTCAGTTCTTTAAAGACATCTTGAAATCTGATCATGAATAATGTTTTCTGAATATGAGTTGTTATTACAAAAAGTTTCATGAAATAGGCAATTTTTAATTTTTTAAAACCTTTTGTTTCAAAAAGTTTCCAAATTTTTTCTATAAACTTTCTCCTAGTATATACCAAACAATTGTTAAAAAAAAAGTGAAGCTATCCTCGTTTCCAGTAAATTCTCAGTATTTTTTAAAATTGCAGAATTTTAATCTTTTCAAAGTTATAAAATTATAAATATTTTAACAAAAAAACAAATAAATATTTTAACAACTTAAACAAAACTTTGCAAGCAATTAGCTCTTTGAAAACGGTTGTGTACAATTTTTTAATAAAACAAATAATTATTGCTTATTTTTGCTTGAGATTTACCGAATTTCAAAAATTGAAGGTTGGAAATATTGGGTTGAAATTATATTTTTAATCTAATTAGAGCGGCTGATTAGTGAAGTGAAAAGGTGTATGACAAATGAACTTAGAGAACGCAGAAACAAAATTTAGCTGGTTGAAAATACTTCTGAAGGTTTATGTAGTAGTGAAATATTGAAGAACGGTGAGCAGTAATGTGAGAAAGTATGTACTGTTGAAGCCCCTCTGATTTTGTTTATCTCCTAGCATTTCTTTGTCTCTCTGTTTGACAGCATATCGGTATTTCTTTTAGCAGTTGTGTCAGTTGAACTAATGTAGAATCCTTATGCTGTCTTGATTCTTTTATCTGATTTCCTTCCTTCTGAATTTCTCTTCTTTATTGTTTGTTTTCTCCACCTTAACAAGAGCTGAAATTTTGATCTTTCAAGGTGTTCTGTGTGTACATTTTTACTTTTGAATACTTGTGTTTTAATTACTCCTGAGGAGAAATTTTGATTATTATGTAATTAATTAGTGAATGATAACCTCATGGAGTCCATGGGAATTGATGTATATCCTTCTTTTTAAAGAAAGTATTTGTCATTTTCAATTCATTAAATGCTATGATTTTCTCCAAGTTCTTTCCCATTATGATCTTCTCGATTAATTCATATTAAATTGGGAATGGATAATAAATTTAATTTCAATTTGAGCATTCAAATGTTCTGTTAAGATTATACAATCATTATTTGACATATTGAAATGCCTTTGGAGTTGTCCATAAAATAAATTTGTTTCTTCTGTTTTCCCTTCTTCGGGAGCATAATTGCAGATTATTGTCAAATTTTCTGTATTGAATTTCAGTCTTGCGATTGTCAGTCTTTCATTTACTAATGTGTATTTCCTTCGACATTATCCTTCTTTTTTCTGCCTCTCAGTGCAGCTACTCCACAACATGTCTTATTCGATTGTGGTACTCCACTGTAAAAGATGGGTCTTCAAGTCTTTTGGTTTCAGTGATTACAGCTATATTGATTTTATAGACTTCAAGATTCTATTTAGTTGTTTCATTTGATCCTTGTACATTCCGTGTGATCACATTTAGTAATTTTGTTAATTCTATATACTTGTCCTTATCCTTTTCTGATCTTTGTCCTTGTCCCATGTTATTCTGAAACTCTGAGTGAGACTGAGTAAGATTATTTTTAAATGTACAGTTTACCAGCCTGTAACATAATCACCTACCTGGAGGTCCAGGTGATTTGTGATTTAGGGTTTCTTCCTCTGGCCTTTGGTGATCCAATGTCTATCTGCAAAGCAGCAGGCACTTCATTATGGGGTTTTCTCTTCTAGAATGACTGGCTTCTCAATGCCTAGAAAGCTTCTTCTGTCCTTGGTTTTCTGTCAGGTTTTTTCTTCTCATCACTCGGGGTCCCCAGTTTTAGACACCGGAAACTTGCTCTTGCCCATCTCTCATTACTGTGTGGGGAATGTCACAGAGGCTATCCAGGAGCCCCCATGAGAAGGAGAGAGACGACTTGCTGACTACACTCCACTTTTGACTGCTCTTCTCTAATGCTCTTCGGTCAAATACCCTGTTTTAAGAAGGATTCACTGATTATTTAATGGTATAGGTCTATGGGCATCAGCCTTATTTCACAAAACCCTAGACTGCTTTAATTCCCTCTTCTACATTTTCTAAGCAAAATCATAGATCATTCATAAATAAAATGAGTGAAAGTAGTCCTAGATGGTATCCTTGTGGATAACCTGAGAACATTTCAATACAATCAAATAAAAAGTTTTTAAATTTAATCTATTGAACTCTGTTTGTCATGTACCGTGAAGACCAAGTCAATAAAGAAACTGACATACCAAATGCTGTCAAAGTTTGTCTAATAAGCTAATGTATAAATTTACTGCTCAGTATAATCTTCTCACCTTAGTATTAAATATTAGCTCTTTAAATTATTTCATGAAAATTTTTTCAGTATATTCCTAGTTTTCACATAATTATTTTAAAAAGTCATGTCAGTTTTCCAAAAATATTTGATGAGATCTCAAAAACTGCTTCACGACTCCTCCATATTGGTGTTTGTTTTCTTTGCTGGATCTCTAATTAATTGGATGTATTACCCCATTTTATTTTCTGACATAACAGTATTTTACAGTTGATACTCTATAACATTGTAAGGAAAATATCAGAAACTGATTTTATTGACCTATTTTGCAGAAGCATCAGAACTGTATAGGTTTTTACTGTCATATTCTCTGCCACTGAGTATCGGTATTACTAATGAAAAAACAATTTTTTAATGTATTTGTTCTGCATTAGGACTACAATTTTGTGTGTGTCTTTTTTAGGATAATTGCTACTTTTTGAACCTCAAATGGAAATTGCAAATTAGTGTTTTTTGTCATATTCTATATTTTTCTTGGGATTCAGGGGCAAAAGAGATGCATTTATTGTGTATATTTTTAGTGATTCTCAATTTGTTTTTAATGTAAATCACATTTTACAACATATTTTAATTATATTTAAAGTAATTCAAAATATCAAAGAAAAAATAATTTACGGGAACAATTGTGATTTCCATCATTAATAGGAGAAACAAATTAAATAATTTTCAGAAAAATGAGAAAGCATTGTGATGAATTTCTAATGATGGGAATTTAATTTTGCTTATGTGAAGTGAATGTTGTTTTCAGTGAATTTTGGAAAGAGTAAAGCTTTTTTTATACACTTAAACTCAATTCTTTTGTATGTTGCTGACCTTTATTGTTGGCTTGCTATTGACTTTGAAAGTGTGCCATGTATTGCTATTAAGCCAGTGATGTGGGTTGTGTGGATGTAGTGAAGATTTGTTCAACTAATGTTTCCTGTTGCAGGAGCATTGCCTCATGGGCATTAAGGGCACAGTGCGCCGTTCTACTGACGGAGACTTTATCCATGCAAATGTGGATATTGATCTCATTATATCAGAGGAGCCTGAATATGGTTCTCTGGAGAAGCCTGTTGAAATCTTTCATATTATTGAACATTTCTGTCTAGGAAGCCGAAGGTAAGGAGACCTACCAGAGTTTGCTGCTGGATATTTTCATTTTTCAAAGAATTTTTAAAATTTTTCATTATTTTTTTTTTAATTCTGAAAATATTTTTAATTTTTTGTTCATTAATATACTATATTTATAATACACTGGCTTCTTGGAAACATAATTTTTTCACTCCATCTAATTTGACCAAATGATAATTCTTATAAGAAATTTGCATTGACAATTGCATTTATTTTGCCTTGGTGTTTAAATAGATTAGAGAATGCTTTTTAATTGTTCTTTAATTCATATTTGTTTATTTAATAACTTTTAGGTTTTTCTTTTGAAAGAACTTAGCAATGTCAATAGTAGATTCGTATTCGTGTAGTAAAATGCTTTAAAAAAATGAATATTTAAGTTTTCATGGTTTGATATGTTCATAGAGTTTATGATTCAAGTCTTTGTATTTAAGATGATGAATTATAGTATGCATGCAGAACATGAAATTAATTATCAGAAATGTTTAATGTTTTTATCAGAATTGAAGTATTACATCAAGTTCTTGTTAAACATTGAAGAATTTAAGATTAAAAGCATAAAGGAATATGTTACTTGACCACTTGTACAGAAAAGAACTTAGAAGTAGAATTTTTCTTTTTTGAGATTTTTGTGATTCTAAAATGGCCATAAAATACTGAACATTTCAAAAAGAGTTCATGGTTTTAGATAAAATTTGGCAAATAGTAATTATTCAATGATGACCTTAAAAATCAAATGCATTTTGATAAAAACCCAATTAAAAATTTAATTTATTTGCTTACTAAATGGACATTTTTTTGGTATTAAATGAAGTTTTAATTATTACCTACTAGTGGATCCAGCAATGCTTTGTCATTGCAGTGGAAATACACACCAATGGTCATGTGATTGTGTGCACATTATACACAGTGCACATCACACACCATTGGTCATATGATTGTTAATCACATTTTACTCTACACTGCAAATTTTGAATAGATGAAAGACTTTCTCATAAATACGCGATTGTTCTGTGTCCTGGTTTGGTCGTGGATGTCAAGTATCCTATTGTTAAAATGTTCTTTAAAACTGACAGAAATTTGTCAAAAATATGAAATATAATATTTATATCCAACATGTTGTTTAACGCGCTCTGTTTTAAAATTTCCATTGCCAACACTTGCGTTTCATTCTGTCCGACAGGTCCCATTAAACTGTTATGTTTTTCACTCTTTTTTGTACAAATTTATATTTGTTATTTTAATTTTTAACTGATATGAAAACCATTCTAGATTGCACATCTTCGGAAGAGACAGTACGATTCGCCCTGGATGGCTGACGGTGGGGCCTGAACTGACCAATAGCAACTTCAACGCCGATTTGTATGCCAGCTACTTTGCAAATGGCCAAGTGACTACAGGCTGCACAGAGCGCATAGAAGCCCTTCGCCCGAAGTCGCCCCCTCCGAAGGGCAAGGGAGCATCCGGAGGACGAGGAAGGGGAGGCGCATCCCGTGGAGGGTTTTCCCGAGGGCGGGGGCGGGGCAGATAATTTTTCTTTAGGCATTAGGCCTTAGGCCGTTGATTCAGTGCAATATGCAGTTTTATAGGTTCACGAAACCTCTCTGAGACACGAAACCTCTCTGTTGGTCACAAGTTGAATATGGTCACATGTTGAATATGGTCACAAAGCAGATTCTGAATTTGCGTCTTTTTAACATTATATTTTTAATTTTTTTAGATTGTCAGAAGTAAGTATTTCATTAATGAAGTTTCTTCTGGGGTTTCCTTATTTTATTGCTTCTGTGATTCTATTCTTGTTTTATAATATATCTTGACGTGTTAACAATCTGTGACCAGATTGAAAGGCAATTTTTCCAAATGACATTTTCCGAGGTCTTGCTGACTTTTCTTTGAAGGGTATTCAGTTGTTATTTCTTATTGAGATGAACTGATATGACTGTAAATGTTGAAATCGGTTACCCTTCGGCTTTTCCTTGTGTTACAAATTGTTTTACTTTAATTAATTAGACATTTCTTGTGAACTTATTATTGTAATGCACCTAAACTCAGCATTGTGAAATATAACTGAATTGATATTGTTGAATTGAACTGTCTATATACAGAGGATACTTCCACCATAATTTGTTTCTTCTTCAAAGCTAAACTGTGACATCTGAAACACATGCTTTCCTACTGATCAGATTTCATATAATTCAAAGATTTTTTCTTTACCTATTGTTTAATAGTTTTATTGTAACCAGAAGGCATTCATTTCTGAAAGTATGGTTCTTATTTATTTCAAAAGAAGTAACTGCTATTTTTCCTACTGACTAATGCAGCAAGGATGTGCAATAAATGTTTTAAATGACTTCTTAGAAGGGGCTAATGGAACCAGTGAGTGGAAACTGATGATTACCCACAATTAACTTCAAGAATGCTGTTGAAAAACTAGCCAAAAACAAGATGGTCATATATTTAGGAGAGCATTTACAGAAATGATAATATTTTTTCAATTTTCTGTCTATTCTTACTTATAAAATTGTGTACAATTCCTCTAGAATGTAAACTTGAAACCCTATGCTCAATACGATCTTAGATTATAATATAATATTATATAATATATATTATTATATTATAACTTTCACAGAATTTAAGTTACATTGTATTATTTCTTGTGTTCCTGTGATGATAATACTCTAATTTCACCATTTAGGGTAATGAGCCAGTATAGCTTCTGTAATGTAATGAATAAGGAAATAACCTTTATTCATTGTAATGAAGATATGAATGTTCACAAGCATTAGTTTTTATTTCATCCCAGGTTTTGTTCCTAATTTTGTTAATCATTTGGTTGAAATATATGAAACCAATGCTTTCTAAATTTAAACACTGAATGAAGTTATGGGTTTGAAAATCAGTCCTTCCTGTTTGAGGAGTTTCTGTGGACAAGAACTGTATGTTTGATGTATTGAATAAAGGCCTGTTTTATTGGAAAGAAGTATTGACTTGAAATAAAATCATGAATTTATGAAGGAAGAGTTGCTATCATTTAGAGAGAATCTAATATTTTTCTGATCATTGCCTCAATAATTTTTCATTGTTGTATCATGAAATAGTGGAGTTTGTAATATTTTAAATATTGCAGGTAATATTTTAAATATTAAAGTGATCTGACAGTGTTATGTGTGATGCACATCAGAAGTTGTTGAAAAACATGTGAGTTTAAATAAATACAAAATAAATAAATAGTACCTTATTGGGGTTGGGGCTCAGGCTGTTTGGCCTGCTCATCCACTTGATCACTTTCAAAAATTTAATACTGTAGTACATAATAAAAAGGAGGTTATTCAAAAAAATATGTATGCTATGGGGGAAAAGTGTTTCTCACATACGAGACAGAAGTGAAAACAAGGGAGGAGGTGGTTGTTAGAAAAGGAACACTCTCAGAATTTGATTATACTTATTAACCTCAGGTTAGGGATAGATTTAAAATTAATCAGAAATATATATCTAGTGAGCACATTTTAACACAAGATTTTACTCAAACAGTGAAATTACCGTTGCCTGATTCAGTACATTCGGAGTAGAAATTGTTTGGAAATTGTTAAACTCAGTGGACTGTTACTACAACTAATGGCTATTGAAAGATTTTGAAGATTCTAAAATAATGTGTGCGTATTTTTAAATTACCCCTAACAAAAACTAGAAAATCAGGGCATCTCCTCAGCTTTCAAGTAAAAAACACATCGAGTCAATAGTTGAAGATCTGAGGGAACAGAATACATTGAAAAATAATGGTAAAATGATTGCATGTATATTTCACAACAACAACAACAATAATAAATTATACAAAAAACAGAAAACTGCTTACAGTGCATCATGTTGCCCACCCTCAAGCTGGACTAAATGAGGAAGAGGCCTCAGACAAGTTAAAGCCTTCTGGCTCAATGCAATAGTCGGGATGGAAACTATGCAGACAGTCATGAAAATGACCTACTAATGAGGCAGGTCATTAAATCTGACTGAAGAATAGGAAACAGAGACATTGTGCCAAGTCTAGCAAGATGCATTGTGAAGAAGAGTACGCAACAGAGGCAGGATAACACAGACACTGAACTTCTATGCTACTTAACATGAAATGGGAGACAAAAAATGTTAAAGAAATCTTGGAGAGGCAAACCCACCCCATGGACAATATTGAAAAAGATTGGACAAGGTGCAGATCAATGAAGATCAATTATTTATGTGGCTTAAAAAGGAAATAATGAAGTCAGTATTGGAATCAATTGTAATGCCCAAGATCAAGTGTTGAGAACACTACAGTGTGATAAAGCGGTTCTCAAAATTTGAGTCCCCATTTGTCAGGAATAAGTAGAAAACATTATTCATATCGTCTCAGTTCATCCAATTATTATAGATCGAATACTTGAAAAGACATGATAGGGTGTGAAGCAGATCTGTACCACCCTCTAAATTCCAAACACTGGGTCCATGTGGTACAAACACTCACTAAAATCGGTGGTGTCTGTTGGACTGTGAACAATACTGGTTTGTGATAAGCTAGAAAGCCCCCTCCCCCCTCATTTTTATTAATATGAACGTCATCGGTATATTTGTGAATATTACTCAATACATGTACATAATTTATGCATAAAGAATGGGGGCTAGGTCAAGGAGTGCAGGTCGTCAGTAAATAAACTAAGCCTCGTGGAGACGAACCAATATGATAACATGCCGGAACGGGAAGGAGCATGGCCCTTGAAATGAGAGAATAAGTTTGTAGGGTATAAGCGTGTGAAATTATTAGATTTCGAACGCCAGCCTCGGAATTGGGTGCGATATTTTCAGTTTTAAAATCAGATTCAAACTTTTTTAACTTCAATTGTAATTTGAAATGGCTTTATATTCGGAACGAAATTAGAATAGGAAATTATGGTAGATGTTTGTCGTATTCAACGATTCGTGTTGAGTATTAGTGGCGAGTCGAAACCCACATGTGGTATAGGGTAGGGAGAGTTCGCGGACGCGAATAATAAAATTGAATCGTTTATTTCAGAAACCCGTCACACGTCAAAACCTAATAGACGCATTAGCAGCGGACTATTGTTCTAAGAGGATAGACACATAGTTTAGTGCATATTTAAATGAAAAATAATCATTTATCGACTACTTGAACAAATAAAAATATTTCGAAATCAGATAACTTGGGAGACTTCTCAGTTTTCTCGGAATGAGGAATTCGGCCTTTGACGGGTTTCTGAAATGAACGATTCAATTGACATCAAGTAGGTAACATGAAGGAAGAAGGCGCGATGGACGTTCCAACCAGAGTGCAACCGAGAAGTTTCCAACGCGCGCGAAGATCTCAGGAAGCCACAAACTTTGATTTGACCTATACTAGAAGGACAATTCTTTTATAAAAGAAAAATCAGAAATTTCAATAAGATGAGCTTGGATTGCAATGTAAATTGTTAATAAATGTTCAATTCATTTTCTTCGAGCAAGGCTGATAATTTGTAATTTGTTAACATCAATTTTTTTTTTAAATAACAGAACTTCCACATATCGCAAGTCTGCAAAATAGCATGTCCGCATATAGCAAGGCAAGAGCTAGCATATTATAATAAATGGTAATAAAATCAACGTAATATTTCAGTATTCGCAATATTGCGCGAAAAATACTAAGATTTTCAAAATAATATACCTGACCTTAATGAAAGAACTCACTATGAAGAACAAATTTTAATGGAAGGAAAAATCTCTATCTTCAATTTTGTAGTTGTAGGAAGACGCCCTCAAACTTTCAACATTTTGAAATTTTCGTAAATTCACAGCTAACCCTGAAAATAGGACCTATGTATCCTTTATAAGTGTATTTTAATATATTCATACAAGAAATTTAAAGAAAAAAATTTGAGCACTTTTGAGAAAAAAAAAGAAAATGTGTATTTTGTATGACAAAATACCCCCACAAATTAATAAATGTTTTCAAAATCGCAGAGCCTCGACTCAGGGGAGATCGACCGGGGTTTATTCAGTTTGGAAAAAATCGCATGCATAGGTTAGGTACTAGTGTTGTTCATGTACACCAGAAGATCGGACATTTTGAAAAAACAAGAAAAACAGCACATTTTAGCACCCCAAAACGTATATTTCATTTGAAATCTCGAAATCGATTTTCCACGATATTACATAACTTTCCCTATACTACATATTGTACTACGTAAAATACGTATGTATCCTGGAAAGTAAAAAGCACTCATGAAGAACGAAACTAATTACTTGTGGTTTGCGCGTAATTATATCAAACCAATAAATAAAACAGACGAAATGCATTTAATATTTTATTTACAGATCAGAGATTCTACACAATTTTTTTAATAATACAATATTAAAGCAATACTGATTTTACAGGAATCAGAACTTGATATGTGTTTTTTATTGGTATTTAACAAAAGAATAGCTATGAAAGAGAAATATATCACTTCTTGGATTGTGAATAGTTGTGCGCAATAATCATTCATGGCATTTAATTTAAAAATAACGTTACTCTATCAGACGTTCTCTTTGTGCAATGATTTGTGTAGCTGGGCTCGATCTGCCTGAGCTTCACTCATCGTCGACTGCGCTGAGCTTCACTCATCGTCGACGGCTGCGCAGCAGAGCAGAGCCGCCACCAGGCGTCGCGACGCCCACAAGCCCTCTGCGTCGGAGGCGGAGCGGCGCGCCCACCAGCCCCCCAAGTCCTCTCGCCCTCCTCCTTCGCCCTCGATAGGGCTCCTCCGCCTCCTCCTCCTGAGCGACGCTGCTTCGCAGCGCACATGCGCTACGCCAGCATCTCCACGTCACTCTTTGGGGCAGCTTCATCTCAGTGGAAGGGCGCATTTCATACATATTCTTGGTCTCTTTGGTCGTCGGTCAAAGGTTCGCTTTCGTAAACCACCACTGCAGAGTGGAATGAATACTTTGCTCTCCACATGATAAGGTGGAAATGTTATTTACCTTCAGTTCAAAATCATGGTCATCACATCATCATCGTTTGCACTATCAGAATTGGCACGTCCGCAACTGTCCAAACAGGAGCGAAGTGAATTCTTGGTTCCTGAGATTCGCTCGCATTTCGAGCTTCTTCCTTGCATCGCCCCTCGGGACATGCAGTGCCTCTGTTTTTGGTGTTGAATACTTCCATTTTCCAGAGGTTTTGCTAGGATCTGTCCGCTTTCGATGCCCACTTGTGACTCCCGTGATTGACCGCTCTGCTGTGTGGAGGAGAGACGATCGTTTCTGTGGTTGCGCTTCGAGCGACAATGCTGGGGCCGTGACAATGCCAAATTGTTCAGATTAATTGGAAGCTTACAAAAGATGACCAGTCGTCCGTTTTTGGTGGAGAGTTCCGCTTTTGAAGTGAATTGTCCCAACGACCGTTAATTAATTTGGATGCTTAAAAGTACCATTTTCAGAATTTGAACACGTGATCTTTTACATGACGACCACATTGTTATTGTGCTCGGTAGAAATTAACAGTTGATATAGTATTCTAGTCTACCGTGAATTTGACCATGTGTTTAAAACAGTAATATAATAAACGGGCAATGAAGGACTCTCTAGAAGCCGGAAATACCTGTCTACATAAAAGTTGTGACTACAGTTGCCTCAAGGGCATATAATTCTACCCACCAATGATTACTAAGAAAATCGAGATACCTTAGTTTTCAATACATTGCTGTGGGAATATTGCAAAGTAATTGATAATATGAATATAAAACAATTGATGCGAAGGTTTTTGTAATGCTTTTATTTTTTATTCCATTTCAAAAACACAACCAGTCTTAGGTCTTGCTACACTCAGAAGCAGTATTTTTACTCATTCTCCAAAAAAATATAAAGAGAAATGTGTTCATTTGAGAAATTTTTGACAATATTCTGTGCTTCTTGTAAATCCGTAAAATTTTTAAAATGTTTCAAAATCGCAAGCCTTTGAGTGAGCCAGATCGTCTTGAACATCCATTTTGGCAAAAAATCATACGTGTCGTGTAAACGTAATGGGTTCACACTCGACGACAGGACAAATATGCAGACAGACATTCGAACGGACTGACGAACTGATTGAATCATAGAGGAACGTTTTGTAAGAAAACAATTTATCGGTATCAGAGGACCACAAAGTGAATATCCTTTCTGAATAGCTGTGAAAATCAGTGCGTATATTCTTAAACCGTCAATCATTTCAAAAATCTCTGGAGAAA